TGAACTAAAGAAATCTATTAGGGGTCCATCTATATAAGCTAGAGCACATGTGTCAAACTCAAGGCCCAGGGGCTGAATCCGGCCCACCAGGCCATTTGCTAGACTTCTACTTTCAGATCTAGGTATTAAGTTATTACTAAAACCAGTGATAATCGAATGCAGAGGCAATTATGATAAAGATTAGGCTAATTTATATAGTCTTACAGATACCTTTGAGGGCAAGCACAATGTTGATGCGGCCCACAATTAAATTGAGTTTGACACCCCTGCGCTAGACGTTCATTGTTAAGGGAGTTCATCTATACGCTAGGCAGATTTTATTTGCATGGCACTAGCATTCCTAGATGCCCTGACAACTATGGGAATTCCTATACTCATCAGCGCCATCTAGGGGCAGTAGAGTTGTGCGAATGACATCCGCTCCGCGTATAGATGAAGGCGAGGTGAGTATATAAATGTCTGGAGATCTGATTTTTCTCTGCTGCAGTTCACTAACACTTACAGGTCTTGGCCATCCCCCAGCCTGTGATTGGATATTGAAAAGAGACGCAGCAGGCTTATGAGCTCATCTTTCTGTCTCTCTGATTTCTGCACCTATCAGCATGTTCATTGTAAGCATATAAGCACTGCCTCCTTGTGCTAAATTCTATCGCTCCCAGTGTGAGCAAATCTGTATATGGGCTGCAAGAGGGTAATACCAAGTACAGTTTGGGTATTTACACAGCTTAGATTGAAAATAATATAATAATGATGTATTAATGAATACAGAGTTGTATTAATTTGTGTTCAGTTTTTTTTAGCACAATTGAACTGATTTTGCTCCTGTGATCCCTTTCCCTGCAGGACTGCCCAAAATATGTGCATGGCAACTGTGGCAATGGAGAGGATTGTAAGCGCCTTCACATGTGCAGATTTTTTACAGGGGAAGGCTGTAACCGCCGCGTCTGTAAAAGATCGCACAATCTCCTGGAGTCCAAAGTAATACTCGATTGCAACTGGATGAGCAAGGAGACCGCTCAGAACTTTCAGATGCTCTGCATGCTGAAACACATCAAGAGGCTCGAGGAGCCGCGGAAGGAGACGACTAACACAGAGGCCAGGGAAGCCCAACAGATGGCAAGAGGCAGAGGCAGAGGTAGAGGCAGAGGGAGAGGAAGAGGAAGAGGCAGGAGAAGGTCAAAAGATGGCTTGCGGGACCCGCTGGACGGAAGGGGAAGAGAAAAAAATGACGGTACTATTATCCTACTAATAAGTATTTGAAGTGAACCTGTCACAAACCTAGGCAACTCAGAATGATGCATATGATGAGAAAATACATAAGCAGAGGCCACCTTCAGTGGGAATAACTAACAGATCCAAAGAAATAGCCTTTTACTCTAAAAGCCAAACTTTGCCCCACCCACTCCTATCTCAAGACTCCCTATTGGTCACTGGTGCCATCCATTACATAGTAAACCCAATAGTCCCCTTGTGAGGATGAAGGGGGTGGAGGCAAGGTTGACATTTATAGAAAAAGTCAAGATGTGCATATCTTTTATACACGGGTTTCAAATAAGGGTTATCTCTGCCTATGTATATACAAAAAAAATCTTCAAATCCCATGATTAAATTGGAGTAATGTTCTGTAAAAGCTGTGATGTCTGAGTGCATGGCTAAGTGGAAGAGGAGGCCACAGACATAAGATTTTTAGGGGAGTGTTGCCCCCCCCTCTCCCCTTCCTTTGTTTGTGGCTATATCAGCCTTCACTCTTTTGGGAAGGCTTTAACAAAGATTTTGAAGTGGAAATGTGTGCCCATTTAGCCAAAAGAGCATTTGTGAGTCAGGTACTGATGTTGGATGAGAAGATCTGGTTCACAATCAGAGTTCCAGTTCTTCCCAGTGGTGAGGACAGGGCTCTGTGAAGGTACAGGTACTTGAATGTATTTTTAGGATATTTCTCCTTAGTGTCGCTTTCAAATTAATTTAAATATCGTTCTAAAAATACACCACAACCTTATTTAGACAAATGTGAATGACTGCATAGTTGCCTGTGCCACGTGTCCAAATGCATGTCTCCACGTCTCCAACTGACGCGAAATGGTTTTCTTATCTTTGCTGTCTGTTAATTTTTAACTGTTATCCATCATTAAGCGTGGTAGGATCCAAACATGAACTAAACATAGTCTGAAACTATGAATCAGCAATGCGCATTATTACGCCAGAGACAAAAGAGCCGACCAAACATCCTACAATTTTTGTGTCCACCATACTGTATGATACCATGTAACTATATCATACTAATTAACTATATATATTTATGGCTTTATCCTGAAGAGAAGGAACTCCCATTTACACTGCACTTTTGTATTTGCATAGTCACTGCTCACCTCCTAAATGAGTTGTACTTCCCTAAATACCACATGGGACTGCCAGTATTTTGATCTATTAAAGTGGAACTGTCAGTAGATTTACAAGTTTGCAGGAATACATTCCTGAAATGTCACAACATATAGCATATCATTTTTAAGAAAAGCTCTGTCTTTTGACATTAATAAGTTGTTTTTGAGCTCCAGTCCAGTGTTTTTATCTAGGCTGAGATGATGCCATCAGTCTGCTGCAGGCAGGGAGAAGCAATTCCTCAGTCTCACAGTGAACACAGCCAAGGACTGCATAGGCAGTAGCCTCACAAGGGGCATGCGGCCCACACTAGGGTGACACCATTGGAGGAGTGACACCAAAATGACTGACAGTCATTTTGGTGTCACCCTCTCTGAAAAGTCAGACACTCGGTCATGAACCAAGAGCACGACATACCTTATCCCGCCGTCCCCTCTTCTCTCTGCTGGCGTCCATCACCAAGCCACCGGTAGGTATCACGAAAATGGCCACGCATGTGTGATGACGTCACAGTGGGGTGTCACCCAGTACCCGCTCTGGGTGACACCTGGCCCCTAGGGACGCCCTTGTGCACAGGCACCAGGATTAACATGATTGTGTCATCTCTGAGGCGGCAACTAGGTCCAGGAAGCAAATGGTGACCCTGTATGATGTCGGCTCAAAGATGACAAGTCATTGTCAGCGGGAACACAGTAGATGTTGGAATTGAAGCGTCACACCAATTAAAAAAGTCCAGATACAACTTTATACTATTAGGGTCAGGGGGGCATTCAAGTAGATTAGCAAATGCATTTTGTGAGTCCCCAATACACGCCCTTCATCAGGGTTTAATGAGAGAAATTGTGTGTAGACTACAATCCCTGCAGCTTGATAGTTGTATGGTGTTTTGATTGGAGTACTCCAGGCTTCTCAGCAGCTGGTTTGGCAGGGGGAAGACTGTGATCTTTGTGAGAGAGAAACCATACCTGGGAACATGACACATAGGTTAGCATGCTGCACTGTACTGCATGTCTTTGACTGTCCTTTTATAGATGAAAAACTAGGTTTGTCTTTCTTAGCTTTTAACATGTGCATGTTCTTTTCGACTTTTTTTAGGGCCCTCCTTAAAATCATCCAGTCGCCCAGTATCTCAGTGCAGCAGTGGCCAACGTTCAGGAGATGAAGGTATTGATGACAGCCCCAGTGATAACGATAATCATAGCACATATTCAGGAAAGAGCGATGACTACGTAACATTGCCATGCCACACCACCATGCCTTCAAGGCCAGTTTATAAAGAGACCTACCCAACTGCTGCTATGATAAGGCCTCAGCCAACAGCATTTACTGGATGTCATGATGCATGTTGTCCACCAGCTGCAGAACCACCCAAGGGTCTAGTACCACCTTTAATATTACCGATATACTCTTCTACGGGGGCTTCACTGAAGACGGAAGCAAGACTTCGTTCTGATAATGTTTTTCCAAAACCTGTAGCAGCTTCCAACATAACACAGACCTCTTCTGTAAAAAAGTCATCTGTTCCTAATCAAAAACCGATTATAGAATTTGGTACGACGGCAAGTTATTTATTGCCTGTTCCAGCCAATATTTACCCGACACCTTCATCAACATCACAACCATCATTGTACTCTACTAGAGACCCATCCAAGGTTCTAGTACCACCTTTATTAATACCGATGTACTCTTCTATGGGGGCTTCGCTGATGACTGAAGCAAGATATCGTTCTGATAATGTTTTTCCAAAACCCACAGCAGCTTCCAACATAACACAGACCTCTTCTGTAAAAATGCCATCTGTTCCTAACCAAAAACCGATTATAGAATTTGGTACGACGGCAAGTTATTTATTGCCTGTTCCAGCCAATATACACCCGACACCTTCATCAACATCAAAACCATCATTGTACTCTACTAGAGACATTTCTAATACTACTAAGCTGAAACAGGTTAGTGGATCTGGTAATCCAAATTGTCCTCCAGCAGCGGAACCATCCAAGGTTCCAGTAACACCTTCAACAATACCGGTAAACTCTTCTGTGGTGGCTTCACCTGAGGCTGAAGTGAGACTTAATTCTGAAAATGCTTTTTCGAAACCCGCAGCAGCATCCAACATAACAAAGACTTCTTCTGTAAAAATGTCATCTGTTCCTGACAAAAAAATGATGACAGAATTCAGTACGACAACAAGTGTTTCAATGCCTGGTCCAGCCAATATTCCCCCAACATCTTCATCAACATCAAAAACATCATTGTACTCTACTAGAGAAATTTCTAATACTACTCAGCCGAAACAAGTTAGCGGATCTGGTATTTCATATTGTCCTCCAGCAGCAGAACCATCCAAGGTTCCAGTAGCACCTTCAACTACAACAGTAACATTTCCTACGGGGGCAACAAGTAGTTCGCCAAAACCTTCGGCAGCTTCCAACATAACAGAGAATTTGTCAACAAAAGGTCCATCTATTCCTGACCTAAAACTGACTATGGAACGTGGGAAGACGGAGAGCTCTCCAGTGCCTGGTCCAGCCAATCATTTCCCGACATCTTCATCAGCATCAGAAATTTCAATATACTTCACTAGAAATGATTTATATACTGCACCACCAAAACCCGTTACTTCTATAAGTACTGTTCCGCTTTATTCATCATCAAGTCCTTCAAATAACTTAAGTTCCACGACTGGTTCTTCCAGAGCTGATGCACCTTCCAACAAACCCTATGCCACTGTGGGACCGATGGCAAAATCTAATGTAACAAGTGGCAGCCAATATACAGCAGCTAGTAATGAAAAGAAAGCCTTTAATTTGCCAGCAAAGCCCTCCAACACTACAGCTCCTCAACCTCAACCAGCCACCAATAATCCTTCTGCATCAGTTAGGAAAGGTAAGTAGGTTGGATTGGTAATTGCGGCCAGTCGATGGGCCTTTTTTTGATGTAAAAGTGAAACCTTAACAAAGATGGCCCCATGGAGCAAATGTATGGTGACATCATTAGGATTTCCTCTCCTTTACATGTCAGGAAGAGTTTTCATCTACATACAATTGAGGATGAAATTTGGTGTAATAAGAGCATTCAGCTGCTACAATACATCAACTGTTAAAAATGTATTTAAAGCCAAAACTGATTTTTTTTTTTTTTGTTGGAATGTGTGGGAAAGGGTTAATACGCCTGTCAATTTAAGTGTGTGCCTTCGAGTGCCTGTGTCCTCGCAGGGGGGTTCACCCTCACTCCTCATACTGGTGACCTTTGTAATCGAGACTGAAAGCGATGGTGAAATCCCAAACGTTTCAGTTGTCACTAGAACTGAAATAGAGGGAAAAATCTTCTAATAGGGACAATTGTCAGAGTTAGATACAAGAGAATATTTTCCTCACTTGGAGAGATTTCCCCACCACCACTGCAGGCGGTATTAGGAAACCCTTCCATGCCCTCTTGGAGCATTCGCACACTGGAGTGATGAACGCCGGCAGAGAGAGGAGGGCACATGGACTCTCACTCATGTTATGACAGTTGAGTGGAGTTGGTCTATGATGGGTAAAGGGTGAGGAAGCTTCCATGATTGTGTGGTAGAGGAAGATCATATCAGAGATTGTCAGGGTGAAAGGAGTGAGATCCCATGGAGGATCAGACCTGGAAACTAAGTGAGAAAATAGTCCAATCCGGCGAGAAGTAAAGCTGGCCATAGACGACTCAAATATCAGTTGATTCCTGATAAATTGGGCAACATTCGAGCTGTGGGTGGCCCTGTCCAGCTCGACGAAAGTCAATTCAAAAATCGAGTCGGGTGGAAAACTATCGGTCGAACGGTGACTGCGTCCTAACAGACACAGTTACTGTTTAGCAGGGCCAATCGTGCAGCTGCCTCTGGGAGTCATGCCTGTGCATGGGGTGTCCCAGGCAGGGTTTCACCTGGAGCGGATGCCAGATGACACTCCGCAGTGACGCCATTGCGTATGACATCATCAGGGGCACGCCTAGGTCTTCGCCCACACATGTAATGACGTCACGGGCTGTTACCTGCCGGTAGCCATCTTGGTGATGGACGCCGGCAGAGAGAGGAGGGGACATTCACCCGGCAGGATAAGTTATGCTGCCGGGTTCCCTCCTTTCTCGAGCAACGGTCGGGCTCTCGGTCCATGACCGAGTGCCTGGCTTTTTTTAGAGGGGGTGACACCAAAATGACTGGCAGTCATTTTGGTGTCACCCCTCCACTGGTGTCAACAGGGTTCAGGCCGCACTCCTCTAGTGACGCCACTGTGGCTGTCTTGCAATGCCTCCCTGTTACAGTCCCTAGGCCAAAATGAGCAGTTAAACCCTGCAGTGTGGGGGTAGTCTGCCCGGAGTTCTTCTTTAATGCTGCAATTACAGTATCCTCTTGTCTGTAGTTGTCATGCACAGTATGTAATGATGGTGTACAGCTTGTGTGACCGGAACGAAGTCAGGCAGGTAACAGGCAAGCTAACTGTCAGCTTCTCTTTAGATACAGTAATCCTAAATGAGCGGATGAATACAAAATGGGTCATAAGCCTACTATAAGTTATTATCGGTCCTCTTATTTATTTAGGGATGAGTAGTGGAAAGTCGGGTCCTGCAAATGATTTCTTCGCTTTCCCTTTAATTCTAGTGACGGTGGACAAAACGCCAGAAATTTGTCTCTCTAATATTTGGAAGTACTGCAAGTTTGGAGGTAACTGAGATCTGAATTGTGATTTGTATTAAATTCAATTCAGTGACGCGACTATAGAATTGGAAATGTTATTCCGCTCAATGTATTTTTTTTTGACTGACAGGCAGGTGCAACGATATGCACTACTACCTACCGTACCGCTGGCAGGAGTTCAAGGGAACAGATTGGGCTGACCTGCCCAATATAGAGGATATAGAGATGGCGTACAGTAATCCAATGAATATTAGGTAGGTGGCCCTCACCTCGGGGGTCAGAATAGAAACAGCACACAACTACCAGATGTATCAATTTCTAGTGTATATAATGGTGACATAAATCTGTTATTGGGAAATATAAATGGAATGACATGCCATTAGTTATTGTTATATGAGGGCATGAAATGTGCCAATGTGCACCCAGGGCACGGCCTTTCTATAGTTACAGGAGTGAACCAGTAAAACAGTTATTGTTATTACTGGTGTGTGAGAGATAACATTATACACAAACTACTGGGGGGAAATCTCACCATTGTAGGAGGGGCAGAGACACAAACTACTACAGGAAAATCTCACTATTGTGGGAGGGGCAGAGACACAAACTACTGCAGGGACATCTCAGCATTGTGGGAGGGGCACTGACACAAACTACTACAGGAAAATCTCAGCATTGTGGGAGGGGCAGAGACACAAACTGCTGAAAGAAAATGTCTCCATTGTGGGAGGGGCAGAGGCACAAACTACTGCAGGGAAATCTCACCATTGTGGGAGGGGCAGAGACACAAACTACTGCAGGGAAATCTAACCATTGTGGGAGGGGCAGAGACACAAACTACTACAGGAAAATCTCACCATTGTGGGAGGGGCAGAGGCACAAACTACTGCAGGAAAATCTCGCCATTGTGGGAGGGGCAGAGATACAAACTGCTGCATGTAAACCATTGTGGGTATTATTTACAGAGCTGAATAGCTTACGCTCATAATACACACACAGCTGAATGCATCAGAGCAGTAACTCCCCTCACTCTCTACTCTTAATGACTACTTAAAGAGATTCAACTAGAAAAAGACAGTCTGAAAGGAAAAAGCTTCTGTTCTCTATTGAGAAAAAATCCTTAGTGCTCGGCAAAGCCCATGTCATGGGTGCACCTTAATTTGTAAAATAAAGAATTTGTGTAAATTTTAAACATAATTATATGAAACATTAATTAAACATTATAAATATAAAAAAGTATAAAAAAACATGTTATTTTTCCTTTTAATGTAACGACTACTGAAATAATAAATTCATAGCTCTATAGTGGGTTTCTGGTACAGAACTAATTGGTACAGAAATAATTGCATAATGTCAATGAAAATTACCGGCTAATATTCGGGCATCGTGAAAAGGAATAATTTATCTCCACTTCCCTCCTTGTATTGCAGGTACCAGTCTATTAATTTCCAAACTATGACACTGGGCACCAGCCGCGTCCGTAGACTCACCACCCCATCATCTGTCACCCAGCCCAGTGAATATGTACTAACAACTGAATGGGTTTGGTTCTGGAAGGACGAGTTTGGCACCTGGATTAAGTATGGTGAATCGGTAAGTGAAGTCTCCAGAATACATTTTATTATTAGGCATAAAGGATCAGTCCAATCATACCTCATATAGGTCCTGTCATGCTGTATCACCTACAGTCGCTTTCATGTCTCGAGGACTCTCGGTGATATCTCTGTGTTGGGTTCCCAGATCTGCTGTGGCTATTATAAGGTCCTTTATTCAGCTTGTTTCGAGTTACTAGAAGGTTTGGTAACCAGAGCAAGGTCCTCGTTCAACATAAGACATCCCTGGGTCACCTGACTCTTCGGCATCCACCAATTTTAAAATATCAGTTTTGAGCCAATTCTTTATAAGCTGCACTTGAATTATCTTGTGTAAGTTCTGGTTCACCCTATGAATGGACTACTTCTGTGTTCCACTGAATTTAAGGTTATGTGCTGTGCCATGAAAGGTAATAAGTCTCACGATGATCTGTTCTTCTAGAACACAAAGAAAGTGAGTTCCTCCATTTACTCATCAGACCTGGAGAACATCTACCTCTCTGACCCCACCGGGAGCACTCATTTCAGTGCTGGAGGCCAGAACTACATCATCAACTTCAAGGGTGAGCAGCCAACTTCACCAGAGCAGAGCAGCAACAATGTATCTGAGGGTTGGACAGAAAAGTCATTTTTGGTGACGGTGAATTGTGCTGTCACCCATTGAGTTAAAATCTCAGCATATTAGCTATAAAGCCATAGAGCCTTATGTATTTATGGGTACTTTTATGTAGACGGAGAGAACCAGCTCATTCATCTCCATTCACAAAAAGGGTCAATTGAGTTTGCATTTATTTTTTCAATTGAACTGTCATTACTCCGATGGGTAATTTGGGGGTGCACTAAATGAATGTAAAAATAATATACTGTGCACATTAAAGTTTAAAGCCTTTTTTTTTATAGAATAGGAAATGGTTAGGAAACCTTTCAGGTGTCCATTGTGGGGTGATTTTCCTTTACTTCCTGTCCCTGAGACACAACAGGAAGTAGGACTAGATCTCTCCAAAGTGAGGGTTTATCATTTTTATAGACAGTTATCACCAGAGCTGTCCCCAATAAATATTTGTCAGAGAAACATGCACCACTTTGAGTACTGATGTAGGTGAGCCAAGCAATTTCTTGCCTCTTCCCACAAGAGCTCTCACCTCTCATGTGTTGCTAAGTCCAAGCAAAGCTCCCCATACTTACCACAACAAGACCCCAAACCCATCAACCCATCAACCCATCTTCCTGCTGCAGTTTATCAATAAAGGCTGGTCACTGCCCCACCCCCAGCCTGTGATTGGACAGCAGCACTCCGATGAGCTCATTCCTCTGCTCTCTTCTCCTGTCGACACTTCCCATTGGCTCCTAGTACAGCCCTGTCCCCTCTCCCAGTCAGAGGTCTGCTGTACAGGGGATGACAGCAGGCTAATACAAGGACAATATCAGATACTTGTACTAGCTGCATTCAGAATATCTATAGCCGGAGTTTAGCTTTAAACTACTCAATCTTTTCATTTAGCTAAAGCCCAACTCTGGCCTAGTTGAACTTAGAGGATTCTGCTTTTTTTACATCCAGAAATGAGGCAGAGGAACAATCATTATCAGACAGAGAAGGAGGTGTGCCGCAGACCCAAATTCCTGGATTTTCAGAAAGTGAAGATGTTGAAAGGAAGGTAATAAGTACAGAAATATCACACTGACTGTATGTACTAAGAAGTGATGAGATTCAACTCTCCATAGTTCAAATTTTCTAATTGGAGTTGCCAACTGCGCTGAAGTCATTGGGGAAGGGGGGATGTTTATAATGGTCACTCGTGGCCCTTTGAAGGGCTGCTACACTTCATGTCACCCAATGGGTATGGAAAGCCACCATTGATTGTTCTTTTTGATATTTTTTGGGTGCAGTTTGGTGTTATATGAGGTGTCTCAGTCATTAGGTATAAAATTATCACCTTGAAAAAGTGACAGTGTACTGTAGGGGCGGCCCATACTATTTGGGTGACAGTAGCTTTCCTAGCAACCCTCTGAAGGCAAAAGAAGGACGAACATGAAATAGAGTCTTCCATGGACTTTAGTGCATTTGGTCACAGCAGTTTTCGGCAGATTATCTCATCACCAGTGCTGAGCTGAGATAATGGAGCAATTCTTATTGATACGCCATCACTGGACCTGTGTTGTTTTTGTTTTATTTTATAGCACTAAATCTGCTGCAGACAGTTCAGCGCGGAAGTCGTTGGACTCCCTTCTCAAGGGAGTAAATTACCCATCACTGTGGGACACGAAGGCCGTGCCGGAGACTGGGTATCAGGTACGAAGGGGGGAAACCTTCCCAACTCATTTTAGAGCCCATTCACACCAGGGTTGATTTTTAAAAGGGAGGTTTTGGGAGTTTTTAATTGTGTTTCAGCGCTGTTCTATTGTAAGCTGTATGGAAACCGCACTGATCAGCACAGCAAAAATAGTCCAGGGAGCAGTTCGGGCGGGGGCGGCTTTTCGGATCGCACTGAGCCACGCGGTCGCATGAACGGTCCCCATAGCAATGTATGGGATTGTTCATGTCGGCGGATCTGCGCGGCCAAACTGCCCCGGGGCCTTAGGCTAAGTTTACCTTTAGGACTATGTTGTATATTGCACCCATGTTTAGGGTCAACAAATCCCCCCCTTCCCAACTTACCAAAATCACATAGTTCTACTCTCTGCAGGATTCTGTTAAGTTTTGAATTTGGTGCGGCTGTGCGTGGCTCCGTCATTCATTCACAGATCTTCAACCGCGGCAGAGAGACTCGTTGATCTTAATGCAGTATAAGTACAATGATGCCACCACACTTGCAATCCATTGATTACTTCCTCCAGCCTCCTAACCAAATATCTGTACCTCGGTATAGACCTGAGGCTTGAGGAGCCTGAGCATTGCTCCCTCATCCATTGATAATGGTTGCAATGCTTTGCAGGCTTCAGTGCAAAAAATTTGGCACATTTGTTTCTTTCATTAGTGTGCGTACATGTATTCATTTAAAAAAAAAAAGGTGCACTATGCCTTTAACTAAAGATGAGCACGCCGAGCACTATTTGCATGTAACATCTTTCAGATAATGTTATATAACCGCATTATCATGCCGCAGAAGTCAGATAGCGATAGGCTACACCTAGGTCATTCTTCATCAGATGTCTGCCGCTACCTACCAATGGCAGTTACTCTTCTGTAACTTCTGTGAAAATGTGTTTGCATTAAATTAAAAACATCCTTATTTTTGCAGAAAGTCTCTGTGCTGGAGAATTCCGGAGAGTTCTCAAACATTGTCAAAATGTTCAACAAGACGGTCTCTGGGCACGTGGTAAAGAAGCTGTGGCGTGTTCAGAACCCCTCGCTCTGGCAGATCTATCAGTGGTATGTCAAATTTTGATACAAGATAGCAAATAAGGATGTATACATTTTAAATTAATCCAGCAGCTGGTATTTTTTTATGTGATGAGCATCTGGGCACCATAGACTCCAGACTCACCAGACCTTTGTTAGCATCTCAGTGAAGATCCACTTGTAGTACAGTGAGTAGAAATTGAAGTAACAGATGAGCAGGAGATGAGTGTAAATCCTCAGCAGGAGAGACACCAGCCATGTTCCAGAGGTCCTCTATGTTCCAGGCACCTCCAGCAGACATTAGCTTCTCTGGTTCTCCTCCTCTGGCAAACAGCACAGGCCTCCTCCATATTTGAGGCCTAGGGAAACACTTCCCACACTTCAGCCTCTGCCCACCCCCAGGCCTCAGGCCTAGCCTGGGGGGGGGGCTAGACAGCACCCAGCCATAATCCATTGGTGATCCCGACTAGTCTGAGCACATGGCAAATCCCTCCAGTCCTCCAGTATAAGTACCCTAACCTAGCATGCACCACTGGTTGAGAGAAACCCAGTGATTGGCTGCTGTACTGTACATACACTACAGTCCCACAATATAGCAGAGTCAAACTCCACCCGGGGGGGGTGGGTACAGTCAATACGAGAAGCCTGGAATTAACCAGATAATTGCCACTATAATCCAGCCAGGCTCACTACAGCCCTGGAAATCACTAAATGTCTAGTAGCCACATCACAAAACACGTATTGAGTACTTAGGGCATACAAGGTATGACCTACAAACTGTCAACATGGTACCTTGGGCATACCTTGTATGTTCCATTTCCATTGTACAGCTTTTACTGCTGCTATTATTGTCATATGTCGGGCACTTAAAATAATAATTTTTGACTCAGGCAGAAGGATCAGATGAAGAAGAAGAATTCTGGTATCGAAGTGGATGAGCGCCAGCTGTTCCACGGGACGGACAATGCCAACATCGATGCCATCTGCAGGGACAACTTTGACTGGCGTATCTGCGGCACTAACGGCACTGTGTATGGACAAGGTCAGTCATAAAAAACGCTATTTGCATTTACACTGGTCATGTGACATAACGTTAGTGCCCTCAAGGACATGGACAGGTGCTGTAAAAAAGAGTGTATTTACCTGGTTCCTGTAATGGAACGGATAGTGAGTGTCTCAGCCTCTCATTTTGTCGCTTGCTACAAAGTTACGATGTACAGTTTGATCAGTGGGGGAGAGGAAACCGAGGTAAGTGAAGGAACACTTTTTTAATTGCAATATATATAACTTGTAAACTTTTCCCTAACAGGAAGTTATTTCGCCAGGGATGCGTCCTACTCCCACAACTACACCTCGAAGAACAACTCTGTGGTGGCACGGACCATGTTTGTGGCTCGTGTGCTGGTCGGTGACTTTGTCGTAGGGGATTCCAGTATGAGACGCCCTCCTCTGAAACGCAATGGAACCCAGATCTACGATTCCTGCGTGGACAACATCCGGGATCCGTCCATCTTCGTGGTGTTCGAGAAACTCCAAATCTACCCGGAGTACATCCTGGAGTACGAGGAGGAGAAGAAATCTTCTTGCGTCATTAGCTGAGAGGGAGCTGTAACTTCAACCGACAATCTAATTTCAATAACAAGCCATCCAATGTTACTGCCTATCCCCCATGGCCACTGATTTTATAGCTGCAGCAGTTTTATCCAAAGGCTTCACCAACCCTATCTTCAATGTTGTAATATCTAAAGGTTTTGGTTGGCGTTCAAGCTTTCATGTTATCATTAGGTCTAAATGAGCTTTTATTTATGGCTTTGGACCAATACATGAGCCCAACACATAACAGACTTTGGCGGTTTAGACCTCCTTCAGCCTCTAGGTAACAACGTTATTTCAATCTAATTACTGGTTTGTGAGCTCTCATGCTCATTCAGTTTAGAGCAGCGTTTCTCAACCTGTGTAACCTCAGGGCCCACATTTGTCCTCGGTCATTAAGTTGCAACCCAAGTCGCGCTGCAATGGAACGCACGGCAATGTGGGCTGCTAAGCTGTGACGGAACTTCATCCATATGTGCATTGCTTGTACAGCTCCTATGCACGCCTGTAGAGGTGCCAGGAGCCAGAATGTGATGTCACTCGGGTCCAGGCACCTCTACAGGACATGCGAGGGAGCTATAAGCAATGCACGTACGGATGGAGCTCCCTTCGCGGCCATAACCCCAGCCCACCCCATCTCAAATCGACACTCGGCGCCGGGCAGCATATTTTGAATGGCTGCTCTGTGTAAGACTAGACAGTGCTGCGCTAGGGGGAGGCTGAGGAGCCTCTCGCCTAGAAAAGTGGTATGCACTGAACACAGGGTCGCAACCTACTTTTGGGTCTCGACCCACCAGTTGAGAACCAAGGGTTTAGAGCATCTCTTGCTGCCAGAAGAGGCAACTTGGAGCAGATTAAGAAGGCAGTAGCCAAGGAATCTATTGTTATATTCCTTTCATACAATGTGGGGGGTTCTCTTCTATACTGTCTGAAAATATTTCATTTATGGGAATGCGAGGGTAAAGCACAGATTCACTTTAAAGGCTAATACTAATATTTTTTGGGGTTCTGATGGAATGGAGAACGGTTATAACCTCAGGTTTTCTTTTTCCGCTTCCTGTGCCCTTATTGGAAACCAAAAGGATCAAATCCTTCCGTACTCCATACAAATGTTAACAAATATAAAAATTCAATCAATAAACAGTTAAACTAAAAAAAAATCCACTAAAAAAAAATATAAATCGCAATGCAGACATAGACTGGGTGTGTGCAGTGAGAGAGCTGGTCTATGACAATCCTCGGTGGTGGCCATGGACAGTTCCCAGTGTGCTGAAGAATATAAGTGCAGTGTGTTCAGCAGCACAGCAATCAGTGAGGCTCATCCAAGTCAGTGCTTGTATTTCCTGACAGATGTCCTACTGAGGTTTCTGAACAGGGCAAGACTTGTCTGCAGTCCCTGATCAATGGGGAGGGGCTTGTTCTTATTTTTCTGGTACAGTCTATTTTAGGTCTGTGAAATACAAAAACATTTTATGATAACGGAAGTACAAGGATGTGTTCCTGTGGTTGAGTTCCTCACCTGGAAACGTCACACTTTTGAAGCGCATCATCCGCTATGTGCCTTCTTTTATTGGATGGATCTTTCTTGCGGTGCAAAAATATCAGTATTGGTATTTGGTATGGGCGAGTACCAAAAAAGTGGATATAAATAATGGAAAAACACTTTTGATAAGTATGTAAGGTACTTCCCCAAAATCTGAAATAGCAGTGGGGGGTGTCAAGGCAATGGTTACATACCCATTACTGCACTTGTTATGTCACCCTGCAGGCATTAAGAAGTCTGATCACTTCAAGCTATTGACCAGCGGCTGCTGAATTTTTGGGACATTGAGGTTTATTTACTAAAAGGAGTGGAGGCTGTTCATTATGAATGAAGGAGTGGAGGCTGTACACCATGAATGAAGGAGTGGAGGCTGTACACCATGAATGAAGGAGTGGAGGCTGTACACCATGAATGAAGGAGTGGAGGCTGTGTGATGACTTCAAATATCTAATTACATTAAAAAAATAAAACCGAAAATCCTTTTTTTGTTTTACTCCCTTTTTCCCAGCCTCCCCTTATTCTCTGTGCAAAGTGAACATCCTCGACTCCTTTAGTAAATCAACCCAAATGTTTAATTTGTTTACGCTAAACACTCACGATTTGTCACTTTTCTTTACAAACAACGAGAGTCCACAGCAGCCAATAAGATTCTTCTTTTCTTCTCTATATACGCAGCAGGGAAATGAAAGAGGAAATCTTATTGGCTGTTGCGGGCAGCACAGAAGCCTTCCAGCATCTTTGTAACACATTTCCACTAACTTCATCTGACACTAAACTCACTGCGGAGACTCTGTGATTGGAGGAGAGATAAATTGATGATTATGGTGTACTGTTGATTGAATCATTTTTCCGTTCGACATTTCGAATTGTCTCCTAAATCCAAATGATTGGACTGTTTGATGGACACTCTCCGGAAATAATAAAGCTGCTTCATGTGAAAGACTCCTCGTATAGACATTATTATTAGACGTGTGTGATTTGTACGAATTTTCCTGAGATTTGCACACACCTTGAATCTCCAAATCCTAATGCATCCGAATCGGAATTTCCATTTCCGAATTTCAGATCCCGTCTGACTTTCGTTCAAAAACGAAATTGGATCGGAGATATGTGTTAAACCAATACACCGCGCTATCTCCCCTTAATGTGAAACAATTGAATATAACCCATAAATCTCCAAATAGACAATAAAACAACCCAAAACACACCTATGTGTGTATACCACCGTATGTCAAGCGTACACATAAAACACAATAAGTATGGTGCAAAAAATATTGAACAATGTGAAATAATGTGTGACTCATTAAAGGAGAACTATGGGGTTAAGGCTTTTCCCCATAGTTCTCCTTACATTAACGGGAGGACACAAACTAGCGTCCTCCCGTAACCCTAGGCCAAGTATACCGCAAGCAGCAGCTCGCGGTATACTGAATGGAGGCTGTGTGATGACTTCAAATATCTAATTACATTAAAAAAATAAAACCGAAAATCCTTTTTTTGTTTTACTCCCTTTTTCCCAGCCTCCCCTTATTCTCTGTGCAAAGTGAACATCCTCGACTCCTTTAGTAAATCAACCCAAATGTTTAATTTGTTTACGCTAAACACTCACGATTTGTCACTTTTCTTTACAAACAACGAGAGTCCACAGCAGCCAATAAGATTCTTCTTTTCTTCTCTATATACGCAGCAGGGAAATGAAAGAGGAAATCTTATTGGCTGTTGCGGGCAGCACAGAAGCCTTCCAGCATCTTTGTAACACATTTCCACTAACTTCATCTGACACTAAACTCACTGCGGAGACTCTGTGATTGGAGGAGAGATAAATTGATGATTATGGTGTACTGTTGATTGAATCATTTTTCCGTTCGACATTTCGAATTGTCTCCTAAATCCAAATGATTGGACTGTTTGATGGACACTCTCCGGAAATAATAAAGCTGCTTCATGTGAAAGACTCCTCGTATAGACATTATTATTAGACGTGTGTGATTTGTACGAATTTTCCTGAGATTTGCACACACCTTGAATCTCCAAATCCTAATGCATCCGAATCGGAATTTCCATTTCCGAATTTCAGATCCCGTCTGACTTTCGTTCAAAAACGAAATTGGATCGGAGATATGTGTTAAACCAATACACCGCGCTATCTCCCCTTAATGTGAAACAATTGAATATAACCCATAAATCTCCAAATAGACAATAAAACAACCCAAAACACACCTATGTGTGTATACCACCGTATGTCAAGCGTACACATAAAACACAATAAGTATGGTGCAAAAAATATTGAACAATGTGAAATAATGTGTGACTCATTAAAGGAGAACTATGGGGTTAAGGCTTTTCCCCATAGTTCTCCTTACATTAACGGGAGGACACAAACTAGCGTCCTCCCGTAACCCTAGGCCAAGTATACCGCAAGCAGCAGCTCGCGGTATACTGAGACGCCGCAGCTGAAGCGGATCCCGACAATTGTGCCGGGGTCCGTCCAGCTGCGTGACTGACAGCTGGCTCTGCCTATATATAGACAGAGCCAGCTCTACCTGCCCCCTCCCCCGTCCGTTCCGCCAGTCAGCGCTGGCGGATCAGAGCGGGGAGGGGGGAATCCAGCCCTACCCTGTCACAGCAGAGAGCCGTGACAGGATCGAGAGGTGAGCGAACCCGGTATGTGTTCGCTCACCTCCCGATCTACTGTCTCATTGTCACAGGTCGGCTAGAACTATGAGGTGAGTGAAAAGCACTCATCTCATAGTTCTCCTTTAATATTCAAAGATATGCAAATCAATCAGCATAACTCAACAATCAATGTGAATAATGTGTACATAAATTAATAATAAATATATAACTAAAGTCCATATAAATTATTTAAAGTACAAAACTTTATCCGATCCTCACAGGACAAAGATAACTCGTGATCAGTTCAAGTAGTGATGAAAAAAATGCATATGTGTAATCCTATAATCCCACTCCGAAGAAAAAACAATGCTCCCCACTCACCAGATTCAAATGGTCAAATTGCATTGATCACAGGACGCAGCTTTCCCCAACCAAGTGATGGCTTCCAACAAGTGATGGCTTCCAACAAGTGATGGCTTCCAACAAGTGATGGCTTCCAACAAGTGATGGCTCCTTCCAACAAGTGATGGCTCCTTCCAACAAGTGATGGCTCCTTCCAACAAGTGATGGCTTCCAACAAGTGATGGCTCCTTCCAACAAGTGATGGCTTCCAACAAGTGATGGCTTCCAACAAGTGATGGCTTCCAACAAGTGATGGCTCCTTCCAACAAGTGATGGCTCCTTCCAACAAGTGATGGCTCCTTCCAACAAGTGATGGCTCCTTCCAACAAGTGATGGCTCCTTCCAACAAGTGATGGCTCCTTCCAACAAGTGATGGCTCCTTCCAACAAGTGATGGCTCCTTCCAACAAGTGATGGCTCCTTCCAACAAGTGATGGCTTCCAACAA